AAGGTCGATTTCTCGGTTATTTTTGAGCTTTCGTTCAGAAAATAATTCGGGGCCCTCAAAGGGGGGTTACAAGAAGGCGTTACAAGTGTTACAAGTGTTACAAGCCTTCTATAATACAAAATATGTATCACCTCATCAGCCTGTTTAACATGTGCTCGACCTAAAATGTAAACAAACAATGATCACCTCCTCAGCCTGCTTAACATGTGCTCACTATTAATGTAAACAAACAATTATCACCTCCCCGCCAGTATCCACATCTATCGGGTGCCCTCTGGACGGCATAGGACTATATATGTAGGGAGCGAAACTGGAATTATGCTATTCACTATTTTATAGAAGGTCATAAGATCGTTATAAATAAACTTCTGTTTAACAGGGAGAATATTTAGTTTCTTTTGCTCTGTAGCAAGTTTCTCGTCATTATAACTGGAGTAAGGTTCACCATTGATCCATTTAATAGCCCTCTTTTGGATAGCAACAAACTGTTGAAGATGAGTTGCAGATTGAGGGGACCATATGACAGAACAATGTTCAAATATAGACCTAATTAACGCTAAATAGAACGATCTTTTCTGCCTTTTATCAGTAGTGAAATGACATGTTCTCTTAAGTAGTCCGAGTCTAGAGGTAGCTTTGGAAACAAGCGCTTTACATTGTGCACCCCAATTAAACCTGGAGTTTATTGCGACTCCTAAATCTGACTGAGAGGGCACAAAGTCAATATCACTTCCAGAAAGTTTATAAAAGAAGGTATTGAATGGCAAGTTATCCAGCACGTTTCTTTGCAGGGACACAGAGAGGGCTTTGCACTTTTGTGGGTGGAACTTCATTCGATTTCTCACTGACCAATCATATAATCTGTTGATGTCATTTTGGATTATGTGATGGTCAGGGTAACCAAGGATCTCCCTCCAAATTTTAGTGTCATCTGCATAAAGGGCGATATTGGTGCCTTCAGAGACACAGGAGAACATGTCATTTATAAATATTACAAACAATAAAGGGCCAAGTATAGAACCTTGAGGTACACCAGACCGAACTGGTAGAGAAGAAGACGTTTGGCCTCCTATCAGTTATATTATAACTCTTATAATAACTGATGTGACAAAGTAAACATGTCTTGCCCCTATTTTGAAGATCTATATATTCTATGACTCTATTAGAATTGAACATTCTTCCAGAAAAAAATCGGTAGAATATTGTCCAGAACATCAGAGCTCAAGTTCAACAATTTTAGGTTAAATTTGTCAAAGTCACTAAAAATGTGACAAAATTAACTTTTCCTGCCCCAACAATTTCAAGATAGTGTGTAAAAATTAGCATAGGCTGCTTTATTGCCTATATAAATCAATCCAAACTACGAAAAAGATCTGTTAATCTGATGACGATTACCTAACTCTAATAATAACTGATGTGACAAAGTAAACATTTCTTGCCCCTATTTTGAAGATCTATAACTCTATTAGAATTCAGCATTCTTTCAGAAACGATTGGTAGAATATTGTCTAGAACATCAGAGCTCAAGTTTAACAATTTTAGATTAATTTGTCAAAGACACTGAAAATGTAACAAAATTAACTTTCCCTGCCCCAACAATATCAAGATAGTGTGTTAAAATTGACATATGATGCTTAATTGCCTATATTAATCGATCCAAACTACAAAAAAAAGATCTGTTAATCTGATGACGATTACCAACTCTTATAATAACTGATGTGACAAAGTAAACATGTCTTGCCTCTATTTTGAAGATCTATAACTCTATTAGAATTCAACATTCTTTCAGAAACGATTGGTAGAATATTGTCCAGAACATCAGAGCTCAAGTTTAACAATTTTAGATTAATTTGTCAAAGACGCTGAAAATGTGACAAAATTAACTTTCCCTGCCCCAACAATATCAAGATAGTGTGTTAAAATTGGCATAGGATGCTTTATTGCCTATATTAATCGATCCAAACTACGAAAAAGATATGTTAATCTGATGACGATTACCTAACTCTTATAATAATTACTGATGTGACAAAGTAAACATGTCTTGCCCCTATTTTGAAGAGCTATACCTCTATTAGTATACTACGTAACTTTATCATCAATGAACTAGTTATTTTGCCAGCAAGGAGCTAACAGAGTTATAATAATTTTTTTGTGACGAAATAACCCTATTTTTGACCATGTTGCGGTAGTTTAATTGTGACACTGTTAACATATTACCACCCGATAATGATTTATGTGACTGGTGCGTGGTACTAGCAGTGTTGTTTGAATCATAGTACATAATATAAGGGGTTTAAGCTGGTATATCATTATTTGTTCAATTTCACACATGTTCAGATATCATCAAGATTATGTGACAAAGTAAACTTGTTTGTGCCTTCTGTGTTTTAATTCCTTACGACTATATGATATAATAACAATTCCTATCACTTCCAGGCCATCAAATAAACCTACACTACTCAGCATTGCTTATCAGGGTGCCCTAAACATTCTTCACATGTTTTCTTAAATGTGTGACAGAGTAAACATGAGTGCACCATCTAACGAAAAAAGTCGTCAAATATGTAAGTAGAGGTCATACGTACCCATCCAATCAACTGGACACTCAAAAATCTGGTCAAAAATGGCAGCAAGGGGTCCATATTTACTCCGTCACATGTTTATAGTGTGACAATGTAACCATTTCCGTGCCGGCCGTATTTAAGCGATATCTTATCACCTGATTAAGATATCGTTAAGTGACAAAGTTAGCCTAGAGGATGAGACGATTATCCTAACCATCAAGGGTTTGTGTAATTTCATAGTGTGACAAAGTCAACTACACTGTGCCTTTTAATAGGGTCACTTATATTTACCAATATCCTCAAACTCAAATGAACGTGTCCTTATACGTTTCACAGTGGGCTACCATGCTAGCATAGGCCTAAAATCGACTTTCTTAAATTTCTTTGAAAATAAGCTTTCCTTATTGTAAAACGCTAGCCCGATTTCATGCAAAAAACCGTAATTAAAAACTTTGCAAGATGCCAAAATGGCGTCGCGTGAAAAAATAGCATTTTTCACTGTCAAGAAATTTTGCCTTTTTTAGCCAAAAATTGCCTAATATTTATTATTTTGGGCTAAAATGCCTGATCAAGGCAGTTTTTAATAATTGAAATACAGTATAGTACTTAAGAATACTCAGCCATCTAAAAAAAACTGTGTGACTTTAACATTTTCACCTGATTTTTGACCGCGCCTTTTTTATGGCGTGTATTTTAGGCAATTTTTGGGGTATTTAACGACAGAAATCGTTGTTGGTTTGCAATAGTTCGGTATAATGCATGGTATCATCAGAAAGCTTAGACAATTCCCTATCAGATGCAATAAGAATCACTTTGGGAACTTTTGGGCAACTCTGTTTACAAAATTAAGAAACTCAAAAATTGGGTAAAATTTGCTGCATTTTTAGATAATTTATGAGCTCAATTTTGCTATTAAATTGACATATTTTAGTTATTCTCCATGTTTGTGGCCTTTTTTGCATCCTAGACCAGATGCATATGGATGAAAAATCAAAATATCACAATTATTATAGTTAAAATTGATAAAAATCCAAAAAATCGTGATTTTAAACGAAATTTTTGAAAATAACAGGAACAATTTTGGTGTTTCAGAAAATTTTGGTCATATAAATGGGCACAACTTTTGTTCTGATCAATATTTTTTCATAATTCAAAAAGATTTGAGTTCCTAAGATAGCTGTCCTTCGTTTACAGTTCATAAAAGAGCTTTAAAATTGATTAAACCTCTAAAAAAACAACTTTTCCTGGGATCAGCCTCCTATTTTTTGACTACAAGATTGCTTAAAATCGGCCCAAAAATTTTTTCTGAGACATTTTCGGCCCTGTAAATGATTGGAATCGTATTTTTGTACCCAAATTACCTTAGAAACAAAGTTAGGGGCATGTGTGATGGTCTAAAATACCCTATGCTAGCATGACCCCCACTCACAGCCCACTGTGCGTTTGTGCTTGCAGCTGATATCAGGCTTGGGGTGGTGCTTTAGAAGCGGTATTTCGGGTACTAACTTAAAGCTCTTACAGGCAACTGGTTCCTTTTGCCAGCCGTTTTTAGTCTAGTACTGTCTCATTTCTGGTGTCACAACATGCGCACAAAAATTTTGTTATGACAACGTGGAATTATTTGTATCACGTCGTAACCCCCTGTCATTGCACGAAGTGGTCTTGTGGCGAAAGCCACGAATGACGAAGCCGCGCACTTGTGCGCGGCAGGGTTACAACATGAAACAAGGCATTATGGACTATCGATTTATGAAATTTCAACATTTAGAATACAAGCCAGTTAATGAAATATTTTAAAAATAACTTTCACTTCTGCTTCACAAATTTTTATTTAATTTTGAATTTATTAGTTTAGGCTCGGTGCCGTCATTAAATCATTGACTAGCACTGCCCTGATAAAAATGTATGATGGAGACGAATTTCCGAGTAGTATATAGTAAAAAAGCGTATTTTACATAGCATAATCTAATTTTCATGAGCATATCTAATTTTCATGAGTTTATTATTGGATGTTCAAGTTTAACTATGTTTATTATATGTTTATATATTATGATATCATTATTCATTGTAATATGGCGATAAAATTTAAATTTTGTTTTACTTAAAATTATGTTTTACTTAGTCTAGCACAGCTCCTAGCAAATCCTAGCAATCACATTAAACTTCATCTGCCTTATTAGTTTTTGATGTACTTTTTTACTATTGTATTCATTATTCATTAGTTGAGTATCTAGTTTTTTGAAATACATTTATAGGTCAGCTGCTTTGACATTGGTAATCTTTATTTTCATTCAAGAATATAATCTTGCAGATAGAGAATATATAGTCTATTCCTTAAGGACTATCGATTAATTGTAAGCAATTAACTTGAATTCATTAATTAGTTAACAAGTGTATTATAATCTTGAATATTTTTTGACCTTTCCATCGTTCTAGGATAATATTTGCGACATCATGGACTCGTCAACAGACTGGACATGCCTTATTTGTTGTGAGCTGTCTGGGTTCAAAGTTTTGGGCAAATGCAACCACGCAATCTGCTTATCTTGTGTTGTAAAACAGAGAGACATTTGTGAACAGAAGTACTGTCCAGTTTGTAGAGAGGATCTTGAGAAGGTTTGTTCCGAATAATTCAATTATATATTATAAAATTATACAGTACTTACAAATTACCTTATTTTATGGTTTGGAGAAATGAATGAATTCGGAGAGCCATGAAAAGCATGTTTGGCAGAAAATATTGTTTTCCTGACCTCACAATTACAAGTTTCAATAGTCTTAATTCTGAAGAAAAAAGACTAAACTTATCATATTTCAGGTTATTGGAGTCTACCAACAGACTCAAGGCACCTATGAAGATCTGGAAAAGGTCTGCAGGATTTCAGGTTCAAAACCTGGGTACAAGTTCCAAGATAATAAAGTGCTCCATGCTTTCAGGTATAAAATCAAAATTTTAAACAAGATAAGGAGCATATTATTATATAACACTGTTCATGAATTAATTAGTGCTGCACGATGTGTAATCAAAAGTAACAACTTTTGTAAAATTTAAGCGTACTCCATTTTACCAATTTATAAAAATTTCACATGAAACGAACTTAAATCACGATTCTAAATTGCGTGTGCAATAGCATTACACATACCCAGTACCCACTGACCTTCACAGACCCAAAATTTTGGGCAGGATCAATCAAGGTTGTTAAATACGTATTAGGAGGGAATACGTATTGGAATACGAATACGTATTCCTCCTCGAAAATTGACGTATTACGAAAAGGTGTGTCGTTCGCAAAAAATGTTATCTTATCGGATTATCCATGAAATTTGATTACAAATTTAAGTTATCATGTATAACTGCACTCCTTTATTTAATGCATGATCAATGATGAGGGTGGCGCGCAGCTGTAATGTTTAATTTTGACAAATCAGCGTATTACGGCGTATTATGGCGTATTCGTGGACGTATTTAACAATCCATAGAAATTACCGTATTCCGGCGTATTACGACGTATTCTTTATTAGAACCGAATACGTCGTATTCTTTCACGAAAATTTGACGTATTTAACAACCTTGGGATCAATATTTTAACTTTTTGAGGTAAAGAGGTAAAGACCTCTGGTAGATCATCATAATCTTCTGTTCATCATAATCTCCGTGATCCTCCAAATCGTGACCTCCGGCTCCCTTAAATGAAAGGAGACACAAATGCCAAAATATAATACATACATTTTTTGCCTACAACTGTAGATTTTCATTACACTTCGCTCATATAGCCCGACAGTAAAATAGTTTATATATCTGTGCGATTTTCTTAAAGAAGGAAGTGCGATCCGAGGTCTATTTTTGCATATAAAATTTGAATCGGTATGTGGATTAGTGAATTTTAAATAACAGTAGAACGCCTTCAATTTGAAAAAAGTATTTGAGGATTTGAAAAGATTGCTCGAAGGATTACACGTGTCAGGAAGTGATTAATAGCTGGTAGAGGAAGGCACTGACATAGTGATGTCAGAAGATGAGTGATCAATTAAATAAGGCCTATTATCGCAATGTTTTATTGTCAACTTAAATTCAGTCAAAATGTGCTATACAGACACAGTGGATATGTTTAAAATCGGTTTAAAGCTTTAAAGGCATGCTTATTTAATTTGTCACAATATGATTTCAAGAAGCTCTGTACTTGGGATATATTAAAATAAACTAGAGTATGTTTAAGTTAATAAGTTGATAAGTAGGTAATTTTAATTACCTAAAATATGTTCTATTTCGCAGGGAGTTGTTTGCTATGAGGTGTAAAGTTTGTAAACGTGACTGCAGGACGGTTCAAGCCCTCGAGGAGCATCTAAAACGGGAACACAACAGATTCTTTTGCCAGGTATTGGGTGTACGAAAGAAAATCGTGTTGTTAAAAATTTTGAAAGAATCCTCTGTGGCAGGCAAATTCACTATCTTAGGCTTAGCTCAATTAATAGTTCTCTCTCTACTGTGTGTAACTGGTAATATAGGGGACATACCTCGCGTTTAATCTGCTCTCTTTTCGGTGTAACTGCTTTGTGTGCAGTGTATTATAGTATACACATATTATAAGTTAACATATTATAATGCTTTTGGACACGAAGGGAAACACACAACGTAAGGCTTGAAATCTTCGTAAAACTACATCATTACTCATTAGAGCCTCAAATTATTTGTTATATACAGTAGTAGTGTTGAAAGTATTAAAACTAACTAAACAAAGAGAATCGGAGCCGGAACCTTATAATCCGTGATCAGAGCTAGAGGCAGTTGCAGAGTCGGTTTTAAAACACAACGACCCGTTAAGTTCACATTGAGCAGATACATCGGCGAATCAGATTTTAAGAAAGGCGCAGTGCGCTTTACTGTGCAATACCGTGTTCGGTGTTTGGCAACCTGTCAAATATTTCATTTTGGGCAATTTCTCGACTATGTTTGTTTGTACTTATATGCTGGACTGTGTAATTATTTGAAAAGTATTTGATTAAAAATCGTGGTGCAACGTGGCAGTCGAGCAAGCTGCTAATTATATTCTCTACAGTGCGACATGATTTATGTCCTTCCCGATGAGGTGATTTAAAATGATTTATGTTCTTCCTGATAAGGTGATTTTTAGCGCTGTAACTTTATAAAAGTTAATTAAACCACAGTATATTTTATTCAGGTATTATTTTGAAATAAGGCAATGAATCAGCATAAATTATCAGTATTCAAATAATAATCCACTCACTACCTGAGCGGGGGCCACGAACAACAAAATTCAGCATATATAAGACTGGTTATAACCAACTTGTAATTATTAGAACGCTACTCCTCCTTAAACAGAAAAGGTCGGCCACAGTTTATACTATATATTATATAGTTATATACAGTTTATACTAGGGTTCATGTCAAGGAATTTAAGTATTATTGTTAGTGACCTTTCAAATTGAAGACTAAAAAATTTGACTTGCTAATCCTTCACTTCAAGTCCATTCTCTGGAACGTAGCAATTGAACATATTAATTGTTGAAAAAATTAAAGTATGTGACTTATTTCAGATATGTAAAGAAAACCTGAAAGTGTTCACAAAAGATCTCAACGTTTACTCTAAAGAAACTCTACGAAAACATCGCGTCAAAGGGGACGATGCTGACGCTTCTATGAAAGGTTTGTTTTACTACATAATATGCACATAATGTTTGCATAATATTGTTATTGAATCGGCACTAACGGCATTTATAAAACAATTTTATAAATAAATCAAAATGTCACCATATAAGATAATATAAATGTAGAATAAATATAATAAACACGCTCCAAATATCCATATAATTTTATTGTACTTAATTAGCGCATAGTGAGTAGCTGTGTCTACATCTGTGTCTACAGTGAGTAGCTAGGGCGTTTTCATAAAAAGATGACAAAATTTGGTATTCTTGTTCGATTTGTTTCAAATGTCACTTTTTTTTGTAAACAAACTGTGTATACGTGTGTATTGTGGGAAATGTGTCTCAACATCATCCGCCACGCTTTCTAAAGATATGTGCTATATATAATGTGTTTTTTAATTGGTTCCAGCCTAACAAATAGCTAATCAAATAATATTATTCTCTGTGGTCATCTTCTTACTAAATCTCTCGAATGTCCGGAGCCCAGATTTATAGATCCTTTATGAAGATCATGAAGAAAAAAGCGATTTGTATTTGCTCCTAAATATTTTCAAGCATACGTTACCAAATACCAGTCCTTATCTTATCCAAATACTTTTCTGGGATGTTTAGAAACACTGCTGAGTATAAGTTTTATCTTAAAAGTGGTGTTATTAAACTTCAAAATATAACCCCAACGGCCAACACGCTTCAAATATCCACATAATTTTATTGTACTTATAATACCTTCCGGGAATTATATCCACTAAAAGTCTCGGTCACTGAGAGCTGATAATTTGCCGATATATCCCGCAAGGGAAGCCAAGATATTATCAGCATAGACCTCAGACTGGCTGGCGGCAAGTTGTAAAACAAATAACACTGGCGTTCTATATATTAGACACTATATTGTATCATGCGCACGTATCGGATTACACCCCTTCCAATTCGGAACCGGAAAATATTATAATACATAATACCTCCGGTTCTTCGGGCCGCAAATTCCCTCCAGCAAGCTGTCGGGAATTATCAAGCGGAGCCCGAAGAGCCGAAGGCATTATTATATTATAATTAGCGCACAGTAAGTATCACGGGTCTCGGCATGTACAAATCTTGACAGTGAGTAGCTGTCATATACGACCATATATAATATATATCTACCAACATATTTCATTTAACTTCCTAGTACTTTTTAATCACGACCCTCACATACAACTTATAAGTGACAAAGATTGTCCATTAAGGGGGCATACCCCAAAACAGTGGTTTGTGCCGTCCAACCCAAATGACCTCATAGGCAGTTCAGTGACCATCTAGCGCACCGTTTCCACATCAAAAAAAATTATTTTGAGAATACCCATTTTTGTAATCTAGCATTTCCTGGTTTTGTGGAATTTTCGGAAAAACACAATTTGTTTCATGGAGAGGCTATAAGTTAATCATTTCTTGCGGTATCGGGTTGAAATTTTGCTCGCCCTTTATTCACATCTATTTCAAGGTGTGTGTAAAATCTTGATATCTTATCTAAAAAGGCTGGTGTGTTATAAATTTGTAAAGTTAAAAAAGTCAAAAAGTTGAAATTGTCATTTTCAGATTTATTTTAACCAAAACGTCAGTCAGGGAAGATCGGATTGATTTGATAGTTGACATGAACTTGTTCTCTGAATTCTGGCGCAGTTTTTGATGCCCTCAAAAATGTTTTTACTCATTTATCTTCAGATCTATTGGACCTCAAAGCCAAACAACAAATTTAGGCACATTTTTTCCATCGCCTAAAAAGGCAATAGATGGTTAGAAGTGGTAGGATTTGAGAATGGGTATAGTGGGTATAGGTTTTTCGTCGTGTCACAAAGCAAAACATGCATTAACCTCCGCAAACACGTGCTCCTTTACAAATTATCACTTGATGGTCGCGCGCGCATTTTACAATGCTTTTATGTCAAGGTGTACTCTATACCAAGAATCGAGCTAATAAATCGTGTACGGCGCGCATGTATATCTCTTTTCGCTATTATACATTTTGATTCGCATTGATATTTGTCGTTTAAGCTTTCGTTAACTTCATGCGATACAAACTTCTCATTTTGTTGTGGGTGCTTGGTGCAACCCGATATTAGTAATCCGTTATGCTGTTGTATAAATTATGATGTTATGACTATCATGTTGAACATGATTGCCAATAGATTGATTCATTATATTTAGACGAAATGAACGATACATTTTATTATGATTCACATTGTATTAACTACCACAGATTTGATTGGGTGACATCTGTCCGACAGTCGAATTACCGGTTTCGGACAAGAGTCGCTGTCAGATAGGAGTCGTTTTTGGCGACATCTGTCCAACTTTCGGATCACATTTGCAATTTCGGATCACGTTCGTATTTCACAAGCTCACGTGTAATCTTGTGACGTTGCTCCTACAGTCCTAATATAATGCTGATTTGATCCATTGAGATCTGATCCATCGATACGTGATTGACTATTTGAGGACAGGATCATGCTAGCCGTACACTAACAAGCTGTAACAAGCTGCCAATCACATCACAGCCTACATTACACACAGGAGAGCGGTATGGAGATCAGTTATTTATATAACATTTAAACTATTGTCCAATTTTTGACATCAAATGAAAATAAACTATGGTAGAGTTCAGCTCAGGTCATATCTCAGTTCAGATCATGTCTCTAATTGGAAAATGGAAATGTGTCGTATTGCAATTAGATCACAATTTCGGACAGATGTCTTTTTTTTCTGGTAACATATTGAGTCGGACAAGAGTCGCTGTCGGACAGATGTCCTTTTAACTGCATCATGCATATCACCGCACAGGCTGCGCTACGGTTCTCCGGTCGTTTAACTTTCGATTCAAATAATTGACAACGGCAACCCCTCCATTTTGTTCTCTGTAACGCCCCAAAGAAATTTGGTAATTTAACCAATATGAAACGATTGTTAATTGTAATTAATTACGGGCGATGGAAATCTAGCGTCCGCTAACCGGCGCAATTCTTGTTCGTTTTTAATATTTACTGATTTGTCTAAAATTTTGATAGGAATGTGCTAGTGACTTTTTGAAGGGCGCAAAATAACCGCAACTAGCACATTTATATATGAGTTATGAACAACAGAATACCCTAAAATGCTTCCCTTTGAAGTTATGGGAGAAAATGCGATTTTTTGGCTTTCAGATAAAAAATCACATTTTCTCCCATAACTTCAAAGGGAAGCATTTTAGAGTGTTTTGTCGTTCATAACTCATATATAAATGTGCTAGTTGCAGTTATTTTGCACCGTTCAAAAAGTCACTAGCACATTCCTATCAAAATTTTAGAAAAATCAGTAAATATTAAAAACGAAAAATGTGCCTAAATTTGTTGTTTGGCTTTGAAGTCCAATAGATCTGAAGATAAATGAGTAAAAACATTTTTGAGGGCATCAAAAACTGCGCCAGAATTCAGAGAACAAGTTTATGTCAACTATCAAATTAATTCGATCTTCCCTGACTGACTTTTTGGTTAAAATAAATCTAAAAAGGACAATTTCAACTTTTTGACTTTTTTAAACTTTAAAAATTTATAACACACCAGCCTTTATAGATACGATATCAAGATTTTACACACACCTTGAAATAGATGTGAATAAAGGGCGAGCAAAATTTCAGCCCGATACCGCAAGAAATGATTAACTTATAGCCTCTCCACGAAACAAATTGTGTTTTTCCGAAAATTCCACTCTAACCAGGAAATGCTCGATTACAAAAATGGGTATTCTCAAAATAATTTTTTTTGATGTGGAAACGGTGCGCTAGATGGTCACTGAACTGCCTATGAGGTCATTTGGTTTGGACAGATTTGGTGTATGCCCCCTTAAATGATATTAACATCCTATAATATTGTTGACACATCATTAAGCTTGGCATCACTAAAACTTGGCGAGATACAGCGTTTTTTTAAATTAATCAGAAGAAGAATGATTAAATGACGACCGTACACAATTACATATATATTTGGAAATTAGAGTTATTGGATTAACCTTATTAACTTCTTATAGCAGTGTTAAAGAAACGAGTATAGGGATGCATGGAAATTCATGAGTTTTGCAAAAAAAGTATATGCGAATAATTCTATATTTCCATTCCGAGTATCGCAGAATATCAGAGTTCTATTGTGCACAATGTACCTGCATTCACAACACTAGACTACTGCTGAATGGGATTGACAAAGACAGCAACTGATCAGATTGTTCACTACGGTTATTTTCCTAATGTGTCACGTGCTAATACCAGCATGTTTTTCAGGTCACCCTATATGTGAGTTTTGTCAAGACCGGTTCCTCGATAACGAGATATTACACGTACATCTCCGCAAGAACCACTTCTGGTGTCACCTCTGTGATGGACAAGCTTTCTACTGCGCTTATGTTGATCTCAGACTGCATTTCCAACAAAATCATTATCTTTGTGATCGGGTTAGTAGTTTGTGTGTTTCCAGTCTTCTGATTCTGTAGAATTACACAGGATACTTGTGTTCAGATTAACATGGTTTCTAGCGACAAATAGTCAATAAAAATGTTAATGTTATGCTAAGTAAAATTTATAAGTTTCTTACCGACCGCTCGCGATGCAGCTCGTTACGAAAGTGGTTTTTAATTACTAGAATTGAAGTATTATCATCATGATCAGTCCTAAATTTCTTGATGACTCTAGAAGATAGAGTTGTTTTGGTATCGATATCTTGATTGTAAAAGTACATTTAATTTTTAGCTAAATCCGCTTAGATGACGTCACACTGTCGCAGACTATGGATAAATGGATAAGATCACCGGCCATTTCCACGCCATTGCAACGAATTTTAGAAGCAGTTTTGTACGCCGCGATGTCGTACTTGTTAACCTTTGTGCGCAAAATACCGATTATTACGCGCGCTTTTTTGGCGCGCACACCAATGCAAGTACAGCTCAGGAAATTTCAGATTATCTATGCTTAGGCCGTGCGTGACGTCCAATAGACGTCATTTACTTCGAGGACAGTGAATTTGTAGTTCTAAACAATAAACACGTACGCAAATCATGTTGGAATAAATTTTAATTTTTGTTAAGACCACGATACAATATGTAAGACACCCTATATTACCCAAGATATCATTTAAACTCCACTTAAAGACCTCTTGGCTGTTTCAGGGTGAGTGCGCTAACGAACAACTGACAAATGTCTTTAGATCAACAATAGACCTACAAGCGCACGTGACCAGCAGACACGTTAACGAACTGGGAAAGGCTCAGCACAAACAAATGAGACAGATTCAGCCTAATTTCACGACTAGCAGGTTGGTTTTGTTGTATTAATGTCATACATCTCCAATCTATGGGGTTGATATTGGAATAGCAAACAAATTATAACTATAACGGAAAAGAATAAAACAAATAGAAGTAGGAAACTGCCTTATCTTCTATACTTGGAAAGTCGCATCCTCAACCGCCGGTAGAACACACTTGTCCATCACTCTCTTGTCATCTGTGAACTGGAAATGGGTGACTCCCGCCACAGTACACTTCGCCACGCCTCCTCTCTTATCCAAAGTCTGCAGCCCGAACAAATCCCTCTTGTAAAACCTGGTCTCTTCCATTTGTATAACCTCCTCTGCTCTGTTACCCTCCTCGTTATAGTAGCCAAATTGGGCAGATTGCCACGGTCTCACCACATCCTCGTCTGGACCGCTCACTAACACCAACTTACGGAGACTCAAGAAGTTCTGCTTTTGTCGTGCTTTGTGCTCGTAAGTTCCCTTTTCGTTGTTGAGCTTGGGGAAGAAGTTGGAGCAGGTTCGGTACATAAAGTAATGATGAGGGTCGAAGTAGTAGTTGAGAGGGGCAAACATTTGTCCTAGCAGAGAGTAAACGAAGAGGAAGAATGTTGGAGTTCGGGAGAAGTTGTCCAGGGAGGGGACTAATTCAGTGAGCATGGGAGGGGCTCCTGCGATACCGTGTTGGGGAGAAGCGATGGAGATAAAGGTGTCTACGTTATGATTATCCCACGACTCGATCAGGGCTCTCCAGATCACGCCACCTTGAGAGTACCCAACAGCGATCACCTTGTCGTATTGGGATGCTATCTTCTTTACCTCCTCTAGAATCTCTGGGACTTGTTTTTCCAATGGTTTTAGGCTTTCAAATCCGTTGAATGCGTCTATCAGATGTACTGGAATGTCCGAGTTCACCTCGATGTAGTCTCTGAAGTTCTGGTGATCAGCGTCGTCGAAGCTCTCTCCCAATCCATGCATATGGAGTATTCCAACTTTGATGCTTTCTGTCGCTCCGAAGAGAGCAAGAAGGACGGCGTACTGCAACATTTTCCTGATCTTTAGGTACTGTTGTCTGTTGTCAATAACATCAGATTATAAAGGAAGGAACAGGTGCAATCTTCAGCTCGTTATTTGTCTCCACCGTCAACAATCAGTAGTTAATCATGGCTTCTTTCTTTAATTCCCTTTGAAACCGATTTGCAGCTGTACTAAATACTCTATCAAAATCTAACTTAACTTAAAGGTGTTGCATTGTTCAGCTTAGTACCGTCCCTAGTACGAAGAAGATTAAATACCAAAGGTTTGGCTAATCACCCTCTATCACTGATAGACAATGACCTAAAAACAAAGCCATCGAGGCAATTTAAGAACTTTGAATATTAGGGCTGCTCGTTTATTGACATTGTCAAACTTAAAACGTCTTGTTAATAAACAGTGGACACCTGCACAGTTAAAAATATACCACCATGGGAGATCTTTGTGGACCTGACCTGTTCATTGTTCATCGCTATCGTTTTATTTTAGCAATTATTGTAGGTACACTATATACTGTTTGAAACTAACTAAAACTCCCTACGGTACTGCAGTCTTGTAAAGATGAATAAACCTACACCTGTTTTCTCAGGTCAGCTGGTAGGACACGTGGTATGTACGGAAGACCGCAGAATGATAGACCCTCCAGTAGCAGGATGTAAGTTGGAATGAGATGGGACTTTTGGACTAATTTAGAAAAATAAAGGATTTCTTTTATTTCCGTCCTTTAAATGTCAATTTTATATACTAACTAGTACACGCCTTAAATCAATTCCGAGATTTTGATAAACTGTCTTCAGGAACAATCTAGATATAACAGATCTGGGAAACTGGGATGAAACAAACTATTCAAACCGTGGTAACCGTCCTCTCAGAGCTAAACCTAACCTTGGAAACAGGGCAAGGGTTAGAAATCCTCCGCCTGAAAGAGATCGGCCTCCCGAGAGGCAACCCTCACCTGATAGGCGACCTTTATTAGAGAGTAGGACAAACTCAGCTTCCCGAGACTCCGTCCACTCAGCTGGTGAGTCTCACTCTGGTGGTGAGAGTGGGAGACAGACAAAAAGTAAGAATAGTGGCCGGTCTGAGTCACCTGTTGTTTCTTACAGACGTGATAATAACGGCGGGAATCAGAAGAGACCGTCTGAAAGGAGGAAGGAGGTCAGTAGAGAACCTGACAGTGAGGTGAGAAGTGGTCCTCCATCTGTACCAGACAACGTTCCTGCTCCAACGGCCCCTCCGAGTTCTAAATTTAACTTTAGGTTTGTAACACAACTTAGGTTTGTTATTTTATATTTTGGTTATTTTCCCGGTTTGAATATGCATTGATATTTGATACTGAATAGATTGATAAGGGTTCCTAAGAGCGCCAGCCTTTTCTAAATAATTCTAACACTTGTTTACTTCAGTGCAGCAAGTACAGCGCCTGCACCGCCTGCGCCACCTGCACCTCTACCAGTACATTCTACAGAACCAGACGTTGGACACCCTCCTGGTGATGTTGACATCCCTATTGGGGATGATGAAGACTTCAGAAGTCGACGAGGTGGTAAGAAAGCCTACTCTGGTAAGAAAGCGTTCCCTCCTCTAACCAAGGGCGTTAAAGCAACGGACCCTGCTAAGAACACTACGTGGGCCAAGGGAGCTCCTACCTTCAAACAGCAACCCAAATCTAAACAGAGTAGGAAGCAGCAGAAAATACAGCACGCTGAAAACTTTGATGATGAATTAGACTTTCAGTGGATAGGAAAAACCCAACCATCAAACCATGTCAAAAACAAACAAAAAAGTAAGAAGAAACCAACTGAATTCGAACCCAAACAAGCGAAAGCCTCGAAGAGTAATCCCACTGAATCTACCATAAAGGCTGCTGAAATGGCTCTGGGTAAAGGTGGACTAATGGATGAGTTGTCGGAAATCGCAGAGCAGTTGTCTTCTACGAATATGGACCAACCTCCCGCTCCAGAAGATTTTAATTCTATCATACTTGGCCACAAAACTCCTTCTGACCCAGCTGATTTCCCCTCTCTTGCTACTTCAGCTTCCAAGACAAACGAAGCTCGGTGGGTTCCTCCGCAAGGAGGAGTCCCAATATCACAGCAACCTCAAGAGTTGAGCAGTGAAGCAAACTTCCCCTCGCTACCTCCCTCGAATAAGTCTGCACTTGGTTCTAAACGTGGAAGAGGGACGAAATCGTGGGGAAAAGGGAATAACCTCGGCCTGAAGGATGAGACCAACTATCCTCGCTTGGGCTCAACGAAGCCTCCACTGATGGCAAACGGGCACGGACAGAACACGAAACTGAATGTTTCTAGCGCCCACTCCGCTCCAGGGTCCAGATCAGCATCACCTCCTGTAGCGGCTCAATCCAGTATGGTGAATGAGGAGATATCGACGAAACAGTCCCGAACTCCACCCCCAGATTTGAGAACTATACTTAACATCCCACAGTCTAACTCTGCTTCTCAACGAGTGCTTTCTTCCGCGAAACCACCGCCTGATTTTAATTCTATCATTCTTGGCCAGAAAACCCTCACAACCGAATCTGCTCCCACTTTGTCACATTTCTCAAATCCACCACCAGACATTCATTCTATCATCATGGGTTACTCTCCTCCTGAGCAGTCTCCCAGCTATGATGTCCCGACTGATATTCCAGAAGTTTCCTCCAGGCTGAACCCTTCTGTTCCGGTGTTTAAACCAACCAAACATGAGGAAAGTCCCAGAAAACCAAATAGTAAATTTTCATCTAAAATCAACCGAGCTTCCCAACAAACTGCTGCAGCATCATCTAAAAAGGAGCCAGCTGAACCACATCCCTCTTTTGTGCCGCCGCCTGGCATTACCTCCTCAGAACCAAGTCTTGATTGCACCGATCAAGTTATCGGGAACGAAAATGTGGGTCGGACGGATATGGTTATGTCTCAGGGACCTCCAGGAATGCCTCCCGGAATATCCGGACCTCCTGGAATGTCCGGACCACCGGGAATGTCCGGACCTCCAGGGATGGCTCTCCAGAACCTAGCTGAAGCTTACAGCGACGTAACGCTCCCTCCAGGAATCTCATTAGTTAAACAGAGCGGAGCGACACCAATTACACAAGGCCCTCCTGGTATGATCCAGCCTCCAGGATTCAAGAATCCTCCTCCAGGAATCGGGACTCAGATGAACTCTGGTGCTCCTACAAAACATAAGGTAAATTTGGTCTGTTAGAAAATAAAAGATATTAATCGGCAACGGTAGTACTTTATTTTGCGATTATCATTGTCCCATGCGCGGTCATTTGTGATCTACTACTCTTCTGGTGAGCAATATGCCGGTATTTAATGGACCACATTTATTTTACATTTATGGATTGATTGATGATACCAAAATCGTTTGTCAAATGTCCATTCCAGGAAGCAACATACATGAGAGTTGAAAACGGAGATTTGAGGAACATTGGACTGATGGAACACCTTCGAAAAACGCTCGGTCCTATGCTGTTCGAAGAATTTCAAAAGGCTGTTGATGCATTCAGGTATTTTAATATAAATTTTGCGAAGCCAATGTTACAATTCCTGTTTTTTGTGAATTTTAAAATCTCCAGTATACGCTAGACTGTTACTAACAGCTCACTACTAATGACATGTTATATTTCAGAACTAACAACATGGACGCCCCTTCATTTATCCGCATCAGTAGGATGTTCATGGACGCGGCTGAAAGTAATAGTATTCTAGAAGAACTTGCTGTACTGATGCCAGACATTCAGCGACAAAATGCTCTATACAAGGGTCTGGGACAACCACCAAATCTTATACCTTGCTCACAGTGCAGACAAGTTGTCAAGAGAGACGAACTTGCCCATCACACCGGACTGCATTCACTTTCAATCGATCCTCACGGATTAAGGACAAAGATTCACCATGATGTCTAAAGTTATTTTTATGTTTTCCTAAGTCATTAATTCAATCATGGTTCCTAATAGCACTGATTTTTTCCGTTTTGATGTTTTATTTGATATGATAGAAGGGAATTAATGAATAACTTTGTATCATTTAGTTCGAGGGGTTTCTAGAATTGATTAATGTGGGTACATGTAATTGACCGATACATTGTTACCCGTGAATGAGTGGTCGTTCAAATATTACGTAATCAGCTGGGGGGGTTCGAATGATTACGCTAGTGTAATTTTGACACAATAGCCATGTGTAAAACTGATAACGGAGGGGGGCCGGGGGGGGGGGCAAAAATGTTCCAAAAAATGATTACGTAATATGTGAACGATCCCTAACGTCAGTTTTATAGAAATTAATTCTAATTTTGTTAGAAAATCTGTCATTCTGTCAGTTCATACTGGAATTGATTACCTACTTGCTTGTCTTACTTATCTATATTTCTCACGGAGTTTCTGCGAAAAGACACAATTTGTTCCCACACAACGTAATGCGGTGAAGGCGAAGCACCTTTTTTCTATTTTACAACCTGACCCCGCCCTTTATCAGATCACACAGTGTAATTTCTACATGCGAACATCTTCAAATCATATAACATTGCTAGCTTACGCACATTATTTAGACTTCTGGAGAAGTTCGAATTCCGATGCATTTTAAAACCAAGAATATTTCAAGGATGCCTTAAATTTGACGTGTCGATATTTAGGAGATATATAAGTGAAAGATTCAGAAACAACGCGGATTACTAATTGTACTTAGAAATTAAAATACTGTGAGGGGGATAAACGTCATTGCTAATATCACACAGGATTGTGTATTCTATTAGTATTATTTTAGGGGACATTTAACTGTAGATTGATGGGTTAAGTGTTGAGGTTTAAATTGACTGGGGGTATGGACTATGGGTTAACTACTTGGGAGTAACCCGTAGGGTTGAACATGCCCTAGTTACACGTGCTGTTTCAGAGGGTATTAGAGTTGACTTCATCCAAATGTAGAAGTGCCAGATAGATTTAAGTGATGTTAATCACGCCCTCTAAGAAACTAAACGTTGCAAGTGGTTCACGTTTACTTTGTATTTTCAATCGTTCTTCTGAATTGTGCATTATCTCGAGGATTGGTTTACGAAATGCCGAAATTAGTGTGGACCGGCGTTTAGATGCATCAAAATTCCTTCTACAGAATTTAAGTACAATTTCCGGAGCATGAATGCATTTACGCCAGAAAACGTTTGAGAGTGGTTCAGGCGGCAATCTCATTACCATGGTATTACGGCCGAAGTTGATTGCTCTCGCACTTAGTGGGAATATAATTGTAGTTTAGAGGGTAAGATTGAACTTGAAACTACGAACTTAGTGCATGGTTCTAATTAAATGAAAGTATAATGCAACAATTAGATTAATTACTTAAATTAATTAACGGACAAACTGCAAATGCGCAGTGCGGCTGACTTTAATCACAACGGTCGCTCCGCGCGCTACGCAACATGCACTGAAAATTACAAATCTGCGCGACGGAGCGTATCCGTTTTACTGAATTTGATGAAGTCACAACTTTATGTACTGGCTCATAATTTCAAATGAGCTCATCTATATTTTCAATCATATCATTACGTTATTACCATATAGAAATCATTTTAAAATTACTTCAGATCTGTACAAAGTCGCTAGGTTTTTCTCTTCTTGGGAAAACAAAACAAAGATGTAATTCATTTAATACAAATACTCTCTAATAAACTAATAATATAGACAATGGATAAACCGCTATTATAAACATTCTCTTCAAATTCCAGTTTTCAATAATAAGTTCAAAAGGCAGGCCGCGCTAGTTATTAACGTTACTGGATAAAACTACCTCCTTCTTTCAACAATTATCATTTGGTCATTGTGGGAGTCATTGTCCTACCTCCAATTATCCATCTAAACTATTTAGCTAGGGCCTGTCAATTTTTGGGCTAAAGAGTCTTTAGCCCAAAAATTGAGATTTTTTGTTTTTCATTGTTCATAACATTAGATTTCCAATATGGCTTCGGACGAGGTATGTTTGTATAGTAGTACAGTATAAAGTATCATGGAGACACACCTACTTCATTTTGGCAGGTGATACAGAGTCATGCATTTTATTCAAAGGAGTAACGACTTGATTGATTAAACGTTTTCACGAGTTAATTGATCTCCATTGCCTCCCCTGTTCAGCACAACCTTAGTACCAGATCTGTAGATACTCATCATTGATCTTTCAACTCTAAACGTATGTAATCTCTCTACATAAGTCGTATTGCAACTCTACAATATAATTGATGGTTTTAATTTTCAGCCTAATTAGACCTAAACTGGTCTAGGGAGATGATGTTCAGAAGTAATACATTTTGCTCATCAGCCATCTCTGCAAATATAACAAGATCGATATAATATCGCGACATAATATCCTGCCACAAACTAAGGCTTATCCGCTGAGGCCTGAGTCATGAAATAGTGTTGCGGACAACAAACGGGTAGTAAGAACACTAGAAATCAATCGCCATTAACTAACTCCAAGTTTTATCTCGGAACTATTTTCCTGTTTCCTGGCCTATTCTCAAAAGTCAAACTTTCCTGTGCATCAAAATTACAAGACTAAATAAAATCTCATAATTAGTAAACTTGACTGTGATAAACAAGGAATTTGAGAACCGTTCATTTGTTCATCATGGTAAGTATTTATAACTTATTTTTAAATTATGCTGTCCTTATTCCTTTGGTTATCTGTTTTTTTCTATGCTCAAGTTACGGTTATTTAGTAAAGGACACTTTTTTTAATATGTGAAGTAATGTGGTTTGACGGACGGTTCTGATTTAAGGAATGTTTATCACAGCTTCAAGATTACTTTTCATCACATTATGAGACGTGTTTTAAAAAGTAACACGCAACAATAATGTGCATTCGTTTCTTTGAACTTAAACGATGCCTAATAATACCAATGTAAAAAGTGCCTGCCGTAAGCAGTTGCAAAACAAAAACGAACTATGATAATTATTTCATATAAATCTATTTAAGTATTAACAAAATTCGGAAAATTTACCGTTAATAAAACGTAGATAATATAGATCTATGTAAGATTTCTGAGGATCTATCTTCGATTGTAAGTTCAATCTACCGAACAAATATTCAGTAATCTTACAATACACCAGCTTGTCCCATTCGATTTTCAAGCCTTCGATCTTCAAATATATTATTATCATATAACCGTAGCCTTACTTAGTCTGAATTCTGATAAACCTCGACAATCTGCTGACCAGCCAGCAAATCAACTTGTATAAGAAAAGGAAACTGCAAATTCACTGCATCATCTTTATCTCTGTCAGTTGGCTCCACCGTGAGTTAACATGTGTGAGTCCAAGAAGCACTTCCAACTTGTCCCATAATTACATTTCCTACACCTGTAAATTCCCTGCTGAAAATCATCGTCCACCACGGCCCTGTTCGGTCGTTTCTTAGCGGGCTGCGCAGGCTGCTGCGGCGCTTGATGCTGCAAGTTGTTGGTATTGTTGTTAGAGTTAGCACTGGGCGCTGTGTTGTAAGCAGGCTGCTGCTGTACATACCCAGTGTTCATAGCACCAAAGTTTATAGGCGGACCATTATCTGCCGGGTTGAGAATAGCATTAGTGTAAGTATTCTGGCCATCGTAAGTATGGCAAACATGAAGCGACAGTTCAGTGATACTGTTAGAAGTATACCCACATTCCTGACACGTGTTATGCTGGTGTTTTATGTGCTGGTGCAATGTGCCCTGACACGTGGTAGTGAAATGATGGCACATGTTACACCGGTACAGGGGGTCTTGTTTCTGGGTGCTATTACCCGAGTTGTTGAACCCCACACTCGGACTCATTGTCGTTAGTTGTGTCATTGAACCGTTGTTATTGTTTGTTGTTACAGCCGCCATTGGTGCTATGTTAGATAGGGTGGTCTGGAGTGGCATGGATATGGGCTGGGTGGATATAGTGGCGGAAGCTATGGAACCCAATAAGTTGCTGTTGTGTGAGGCGTTGTGGCGCTGTGGGGACGGGCTCGCGCTGTGCTGGTCCCCTGAGTTCCCACTTTGGTGTTGCGCTTGCTGCGCCACACTGTTTTGGGGTGCACTCAGCTGCTGAGAACTGAACGTTAAATTGTTATTAGCTGAACTGACTGAACATTTGCCCGGACTCTTACTAAGACCCTGTGGACTTGGTATTTGGACTGTAGACTTAACAGTTTCTTGTTTAACTTGCCCTGAGTCTGATTTCAAATCATCTTCTTTATTGTTTATAGTGTCAAATTTAGCCTTTTTATTCGCTCTGTAGTCGAGCTCATTATTAGAGTGTATCAACAAGTGTGAGTCCATGAAGCATTTCCAACTGGTGCTGTAGTTACATTGATGACACTGATATATCTGACCTGAAATATATGGAACTGTGAATTACAGTTATTTAACTTTCAATAGCTCCTATTCGATTTTCAATGCATAACTAAATTATCGGTAAATTACTAAATAATCAGTAAATGCAACAAATCAAACCGGAAAGAATATATTTTAGCCAATATTAATTCAATCTTCAAAAGTAACGTTCCTTTCTGAGATAATTTACATTCTATTTAAGATTAATTGAAATTTTTACGAAACAGTTAAAAAAAGACTCGTTACCTGACGTGCCAGCGTCTAAATGATAGGCTACATTATGTTCTGAAAACTCATCCAATAACGAAGTCTCATAGTTACAGTGACTACACGAGTACACTTTAGCCCAGGTTTTGTGTTTCCTGCGCGTATGCTCGTCTTTTGACGACTTGTTCGTAAAGTGGATGTTACAGTCTGCGCACGTGTACAGGTTTTGTTGCGCGTAGTGCGTGAGCTCGTGGTTTTTGAGCGACTGCGCGTTTGATGTGTAGAACTTGCAGGCGGGCCAGTGCCGGCACTTTAGAAATTCTTCTGACTTTGTAGTGTTGTTATTCTGAATGAGAGCAGTGTTAGTAAGTATATAATTATAGTATCTAGTACATGTACATTGTTTAACTCCCTGCTTCTCTTGAAATTCCTGGAAATTAGTACCAGACTGCACACTTCATGATAATTCTATTGGTCTGTAAAAGCTATTGATCTGTAAAAGCTATTGATCTGGTAAAAGCACGTACCATTTCAGTGATTATGTGGCAGTTTACTTGGCAAAACAATGTGTTAGGCTTAATTATTCGTACTCACACATCATGCCATAGTTACATAATATTTAATGTGTGCGGTTATAATATAATTCATTTAACCAAACAGATGTACGTCAGTTGATGATAATAAACTAAGTTTACAAAAACAATAACTATTTAATAGTTTTACGACAATTTGACTACGAATAAATGATTATACACTATACAGTTCAAGTATATAATAGCAGTTCCCAATCTTTACAGAACGTTTTGTGTAATATTGTGTAAGCAACCTTATTTTCCTACTAGATAAAACCCATTTATCAGGCAAACATTTTATAAGATATTTTAAACAAAAGCCAAAATCACTCAGGAAACTGTTGCACTTAAACATCAGTAAGGCGGATTTAACCAAGACTATGTATAAAGATTATTATACATGTTGCAAGAAATTAGCAATAATATGCAGTCACATTACATGTATATTGTATATAATGATAAATGTGAATTCTAAGTATTGTCTACCACACACGCACACAAATGACAGGTATTACTGTTACAGTACCTGAATGAAGGTAGGCTGTATATTCTGGTGAGGCTGGGAAGCCTCCTGTATGATATATGTTTGTGTAGGGTTGGGTGGGAGGGTTATAGTGGGCACGTTGTAAATACTGCACGGAGCATTGTACATTCCCTGTTGGTTGGTGCTGTACTGCACTTGGATGTTTGGCTTCACATCAGTTCTGGTGCCCGCTGAAAACAAAGAGTTGGTGTTATTTTTCGTCAAGGGTGTAAGAAACATAACAGCGAGACGAAAATATCTAGTTGAAATCAGGTTATTAGTCTTAAACACTGGTACATACTGCATACTTACTATAAGGTCTGGCACTCTAAACGATCTTTCACAGTCGTTAATAAAGCACTGCAATGTTTTAAAATCTACAAAGTGTGTTGCAAGATCTGTCTAGTGACGAGGACTTACTATTATATATTATATTGTAGACGGCTATGCATAATTTATGCAGGATTGCGCAAATTCTTGTAATTCCACTAAGATATGACTGACCTGGACTTTGAGAGGCTGGTATCCAACAGTGTGAACCACTGCTATTTTCCATTTGAATCATTTGACATATGGTGACTAGGAAAGTGTGATCGTTACTTTTTATTAAAAATGTGTTTTTATAAAGCCCGATTTAATGGGTGGGAAAAGTAGGACCAGGCTAATCGAAAATTGTGGTAAATTGGCATTCCGATTAATACTAAACACTTGTAAATAATCCTATTTAGGGGGCAAACTAAATCGAGATTCACAGTATTTCAGAAATTGTAGCAGACTTTCACTTTATTATAATAAAGGAAGCATTTACAAGTTTTGTAATCTCTAAGGGCGGGGGATAAGGATGGTGATTACGAGCATGTAACATAGGGGGGGGGGGGGCAGCCTAAATGAGAAACAGACTCAGTATATCTTGAAACTTGCCTTCATAGAATTAGTATTAGAACTAGAATTATGATAAATTACAAATTACACGATGATATTATTAGATAATTTAAAGGTGCTTCTGAAGCTGTGAAGGATATTTAAATCAGTTCTATGAAATGTTTTAAAAATACCTATACCCTGCTAAGGCCTTAGATAGATAAGTAAAAATGTTTATAAATTAAGTAACGATAAGCAATGAGTTAATGGTATATTTATGTGTAATATGTGATAACATGAACAGTGGGTATGAAGGTAACTATTTAAATGTTACGGCTACTACATTGATCTGGAAGGAAAAACAACGGAACCCCTTGTATTTTCACAGAGCTGTTGCTTGTGTATTTCATACAAGTTACAACTTAAAATATTTTCATCACGATACATAATACTGAAATATAATACATTTACAATAAAGTATGCAAAATTACAACAATATGATCAACAAAATAAATTTAATCACAGAATCATAAATTAAGAATTATAAATTGATAAGACACTATTAATTAAATCTAATATATATAATAATGCATAAATGAGGATTTCATAAAAATTGAAAATTTTGCAGTAAAATCTGCATTAATTACGGTCAAAGGAGTTGAATTCCAAACACTTTTGTGTGATCTGCACGTTTCAGCATCAAGAAAAATGTTTGCCTCTTCAATTGCTATCCTCATTTGTGAAACACTACCCCACTGAATATCACCAAGTTTGATTCTTAATGCTCAGGATCCACTTGCATCTCTTTTATAATACAAAGGGAAGAGTGAAGTAGGGAAAAGGGAGGTTATATAGAGTATTAGAGTGAAAAGCAGTGCATTACATTATTTTATAACCCACCTTTTCAGATTATTAATTTATTGTATCTGTTTTTAACCCACATCACCTAACTCTGTTACTAGGGATTTATGACAACAGTGTCAAAAATTCCAAAATAAAAGGAGAATTGTCTCTCAACAGAGTAGATTTGATAGAAGTTCGGTTTTTAAGCTGTGGCAATAGTAAACATGGTATACAGTTTAATCCTATCTATCTAATCACTATTGCATTATCGGTCCAATAATTTGTATCCCAATAACCGATAACAATCTTGAAATGATCGGCAATACTAATAATTATCGGCGATAAAATTGAGTCATAACAATGAGCTAAGTTTCTGTTGATTATTATGACTGACATAATCAATTAAACCTTCGTCACCTTTGTGAATGAGGATTATGGTAGTCCTGAGTTAATGTTACACGAATTCTAAACAGGTAATTAGAAATTCTACAACAGCATCGTAAATTTATTTAGAAAGCAATCAGATAATATCAATTCAAGTGAATTCAAATTACAATTTACAGATGTTCAAAGAAAACTAGTAACTTTACTTACAAGTCTTTTTGGCGAAATAAAATTTTACTCTATGGGAATTTGCCATTGGGAAACATATTATGCTGTTAAAATGATTGATCATCAAGTGCAGCACAAATAAGCAATAAGACATGACAATGAAATGTGAATAACTTTACATATTTTAATTTAACAATGAGAGGATGATACTGATTTAAGTACCTTACTCGGGATTATTATGACCAGGATAAAGTGGCGGGTTTAGGGTAATTTCGCCATATTTTTCCCGAACCACATTTTCACCGGTCGTAAATAAACCCGCCGACTCAGCTTTTAGGGTTCCCAAGGGGTATGGGTGCTCATATTTTAATGGTTGTCTTATATTCACTAAAGAAGACTATTGGGACACTTGTTGTAGGTTTTTCGACTTCATTTGGCTAAAATTGCAAAAAATTCACCTTTTTGCCCAATTCTTGTCATATATCCTTATTGTCAAAGTTGATTTAAATAGGCCAATTTTTAATTTCTTAGGTAGGACTATCTCTACATAATGAAATAGGACTCAAAGTAAAAGTAACAGTTAAATTAAAACTCGAATTAATTAAAACGGTCAATAACATGAATCAGTTTCATCAGTCATTTATTCATAATTCTAAACAATGTGAACGATGCATTCTTTCGAAGATTTTCTACAAATTGAGTCATAATGGTTATTTGATACACGTAAACATGTAATGCTAATTCAAAACAACGAATTTGCTAGAGTCTACTTTCAACAATTATTGATAATTCGACTTGTTTCACAAGTTTTAGCAATGCGAAAATTTCTGAACCTGCTTATCTCTAATAAGGAAATTTACATCTGAGACAACATTTTTGAATCTAAAATTGAAAGGTTGGACACCGGTAAAATGGCGACCGGGAAAATGTGGTGGGTTTTGAGCAATTTCGCCATATTTTTCCCGAACCATATTTTAACCGGTCGTTAATAAACCCGTCGTAATAATCCCGAGTAAGGTAGCTAGAATTAGCTAGTAAGCTGTAGAGTGTAGAGGTCCAATAACGCTTAATTTGAGATTTTAAGGAATATCGAACCTTTTGGAAATAATTTTAGAAGAAAAATGTTTGATTTATCAGTTAGAAATTATCGCTGACAACCGATAATGAATTTTTCACAAATTATGGCCGATAATTTTATCGGCGATAATATCGGTTGCAAACCCTAATGCAGCATACGCTCTACACCAATTAAAAGAAAACAGAGACCTTCATTCTCCGAACAAACTCTCAAACTTGCCTTCCTACTCACTCTAATCACACACCGTCATGTCATCTTTCTTTGACCCTTAAGCTGTGAGTAATATACACTAACCTGTCCATGTCCCTCTCTGAGTTCTATACCCCCAACAGTACACAAGTAGACGGAAAGCAGAGAAGCCTTGATCGCCAGACCAAAGACTTCATCACCAAATATAGGTCTTCTCCCCTACGTACCTTCAACACAACTATTTAGGAAAACAAGTTTAAGTGATAAGTTCTGATGATGATGATAATAGTGCAAACTACCGAATACAAGTCCAGTGTAAACCAATTACAAGCACTATATTTTTATTGGGCACATCAGAACCCATCTATCAATGGATGCCTCGGATCTGGAAAACATGGCTTGATGTTTAATGGCTTAAACTTATGGCGGGTCCTTCCATGCAGTAAAGCTTTAGTGAAATCGATAGTATTGCTTGCTATTAGTACCATGACTTTACTCATCTCAAAATGCCTTGGCTGTATATAAGCTCTTAGAGCAGTCTAGCTTCTGTTTCTACATGGGCGACCATGAGGATTGCCCAGACCAAGATGCCCGGAGTGTGCAACCAGTGGCGTAACGTTGCCTACAGGCAAGTAACATACCCTTGAGATACCATGCAGTAGTTATAGTTAAACAGTACAGGACAACACTGAACCCCAGCTACGATCTGTGTCTGGAGAAGAACATGGTCACTAGTTGACTTTTTTGCCACATTAACACAAATTAATTTCATGATATTATTTGGTGTTTGGTATAGATACAATGAGGAGTGTACTAGTAGTAAGAGCTGTACGTGGGAAGGTGAAGAAGGCATGGACCATCTTATATCCAAAAGTAGTAGTGTAGTAAAAATAGCAGAATTAGATATAAATTTGGAGCCAGTTCTTTAAACTGGCTTACTTATACTACTTAAAGGGTGTTTATAAATTTTATTTAGTTTTCTATTGAATTTATATTGAATTTTTATAAATGGGTAATTGTTATATTATGTGTACAAGGATACAAGGATACAAGGATACAAGGATACAAGGATACAAGGATACAAGGATACAAGGATACAAGGATACAAGGATACAAGTATCCAGTGTCTCTTTCATCCTGATCCCTGTGGAGAAAAGCTACGCAGGATAGACAAGAATTATTGCTCATGATTTATGATTGTGCTCTGCCAATAATTAATGTAATATACACACGATATCACAATGACCCTATACAAAATGAAACCTTCAAAAATTTAATAAATTTCCCAACTTAAATATTGGCAGAAACATTCCAAATTCACCCTTCACATTGGCCTTGTGGGTCCAAGTTCAAATTATACATCCACAAAGTTCTTTGTGCTCTTTGATTTAGAACATAACATAACATAACATTATAAATAATGCCTCTCTGGGCATCTCAAAAAGAAATTCATAGAAAATGAACACTTTACGTTTGAAACCATATAATTACAAACTTTTAAAAAATTTAACTAAATACCTTTGATATTAACCTTCTTCCTCTTAGCTACCAATGGATTATCTTTCATATAACTTACATAACTATTCCCATTAGACACAGACACATCTATCCTATCAAAGATGTCATATGAAAGTTCCCAGTGATGACCAAGCTTATTAGCTCGATATCCATGAAGCCGAAAGGCATCTAATCCCCTCTTGAAACCAGTAACTGACTCACTAGCTTTCACAAGTGGTGGTAGACTGTTCCAATAGCGCAAGACCCTTTGGGCAAAGAAATCAGTCTCATTTGTGGTGAATCTATGAGTCTTTGATCTAGCAGCAACGGTCCTACCAGAACGACCAAATAAATCGGAACCATAACCCACAAAGCCTTCCTGGATCTTGAACATCTCAATGAGATCTCCACGAACCCTGCGTTCAAGCAGGGTTGTGAGGTTCAGCTTATCCAGTCTCTCTCTGTACGTCATGAGTCCCAATCCATCAATCATACGGGTGAACGATCTTTGAACACCTTCCAATTCAAGAATCAGTGACCAGTTTCCATGCCTAGCCATTGGAGCCCA